AAAAGAATGGAAGAAGACGATGTGGTCAGACAAAATTAGATTATTTTTGTCTTTGTTACATTCTTGTGTTCACAACAACGAGCAAAGAGGGACAGTTGTAATACCCTAATTTTGTCCGGACCATTTAAATTCATTTGAAGATGATCGGGAATTAATTTAAAGATGTTTGTGCTCAACGATGAATTAATTCAAGTGATAAATCATGGGAGTTTGCGTTTGAAAGCTTGAGGTGCTTAATTGGATTAAAACCGTATATGTTCGCTTTGGAAATCGAGATACAAATTTAAAGTCAATCCAAAACAAATTTAAGCGTCTAAAATCCAATTACAAGCCAAATTAATTGCAAGCTCAAGAATCGACCCATAACTCGACCCAGATCTGACCCAGTTACAAGACCCAACCCATTTTACATCATTTCCAGCTCCCACGTGCAGTTCCCCACGTGAACTGCCCATACTGGTGCCATTTCCAACCTTGGAGTGGAGCATCACGTCCGACAGCACTCACATCCACCCGTGTTGTCCCTGCCCCTCGTAAAGACCCCATGTTCCTGCAAAAATACAAAACATTAGCATATTCAATACATGAAGTGGGGGCATCATATTTGAAGATACTAATTTTTATCCATTTTTCATTTGTTATTTATTATTATTATTATTATTATTAGAGAAAATAACCTCAGTGACCAAAAATGCCTTATAATATACGATTTTAACCAACTTTTTTTGTATTTACCGAAATGACCAACTAAATCGCAATGCGATCGATAATTCGCAACGCGATCTCCGGTATCGCAAATCAGTTTCCAGATTCGCAATGCGAACTTCGACTATCGCATTGTGATTTACATATTCGCATTGCGATAGTCCAAGCTCGCGTTGCGATAGTCGAAGTTCGCGTTGCGATTTATTCCAAATTCGTTGCGATAGTCCAAGTTCATTGCGATAGTCGAAGTTCGCGTTGCGATTTATTCCAAATTCGTTGCGATAGTCCAAGTTCGCGTTGCGATTTATTCCAAATTCGTTGCGATAGTCCAAGTTCGCGTTGCGATTTATTCCAAATTCGTTGCGATAGTCCAAAATCGCAACGACTGGTGGTATTGCATTTGTTTCTTAAGAATTTTCTCTAAAAAGATAGTATTAGTTCGGTTTACATGTTTAAGTGGGCTATTTAAGGGTCATCGTTTTCTCGTTAGAAAGGATTAGATCAGAGCAAGCAAAAAAAAATAAAGTAAAGAGGGTAGAGGCTCTCGATCTAGTTTCCCTTGTTGTGTTGGGGTCCTTGCCAGAGAAGAAGGTGGTCATCATTGAGGAGAGGCTTGCTTGCGGAGAAGAAAAGCCGAGAGGTTGAGAGCTTCTTTGAGTCTAGATGTTAGCATGGCAAGGCGAGAGTTGTGAGGGGTTCAGGCCATGGCAGTCGTTCGTGCAGAGGGAGAAAAGAAGAAGATAGGGGAAAGGGGTAGAGATATACGGCTGTGAGGAGGAAGAATTGAGGTAAATGAAATTAGGGTTTAGATTATTAACTTAAATTTATATATATTAACTTGCTATAACGACGTCGTGTAGGTTTTTAGGGTTTCTTGATTTTGTATGGTTTATTCGGTTTAGGGGTCACTGTGGTTTCTCCTCGAGTTCATTTTAGTCCCTAGGCCGAAGTCTTAATGTTCATATTTCTGTTCATTTATTTTATGCATGTTTAATATTGGTCCCAAGTGTTAGTTTATTTAATTTCTCAGTTTTTAGACATTTGACCTTTACATTTTTACATGTTTCTTTTTTGTCCTATGTATGTTTAGGGTTTATTATAATTTTAGTCCCTTATGGTGATGATTTGTTTTATTTTGGTTTCATTGTTTACTATGTGTACTATTCATATGTCCATTTCAATTTGTTCGTATTTTAGATATTAAAATTCGGTTTAATGTGATTTGGTCATTAGTTTAACATGTAAAGTTTTTCTCATAGTTTGGTATGTTATGTTTTTATTTTTTGTATTTAAGTCCCATTGGTATGTTACATATTAATATTTTAAGTAATGTAATTGCATGTTAATTTTTCATTTATTATTTATTAATCAGATAAATTTTTATATATATATATATTGTATGTTAACCTCATGTGCATGACCCGACACCGCTACATAATCGGATTAAGGGTAATACCCTTTTAATTTAAAAATGTTGGAATGGCTTCTCTTAACTTACTGGAGGGTCGTTTTGACGATTTTAAATTAAAAGTGTGTCCCAACAGTGTCACCAAAAGAATTGGTTCATCACTTTAAAATTTGGGAACGAAAGAAAGAGAAATGTTCGGCTATTTAAATTCATTGAGAAAAGATCATTAGAACTTACCTAAAGATCTGGTCTCAATATTTTTAAATAATCGAACATTCTTTATCTTTCTAATGATTTGGTAATTTTAATTTAACTTATTTCATTGCTTTTGGTATTAAAAATTGTATTTTGTTGTTTTAAGGGATCGTAAACCAAATTAAACTCGAATTTGTGAATTTCGTTGCAAAAACATTAATTAATCGACTAGATACTGATTTAGGGCGTTGTGGGGTGCTAATCCTTCCCCACGCGTAACCGACTCCCGAACCCGGATTCTGGTAATGCAGGCTTTTACCTGTCATTTTAATTAAAATTAATTTTTATTTAAAATGGCAAAACATTTTTGGGTGCCCAATCACACCCTAATCAATTATTGGTGGCGACTCCTCGAACCGTACGTTTTATTTTAATAAGGAATCCCAAATTTTCGATACGAAAGGTTTTCTAAAAATCGTATTGTTTTTAATTAAAATTTAATCGTAAAGAAAATAATTAAAAATGACGTGGTTTTCAAAATCTCTCCCCCTTCACTCTTAAGAATCGTTTCGACACCCAATTTTAATAAACACTCACCTATAAATTTAATTCATTTACACATTGGTTCGGGTCCACTCCGGATATCGACTTAAGATTCTTCGGACCATTACCATTTTAATTACTTTTTATATAGAGAATGTGAATCATATGCGTCATAAAAAATTTCATACAGTAATTTCTCGAGTTTATTTAGAGAATTGTAGTATTATGATTTTGAGAATAGTTTTGGTTGTTTTTATAAAAGATTTCTTCTCCATTTAGAGAATATAAAGGTAATATTATTGTATTTTTTTGTGCTATTATTTCTTAGTTATTTTTCCATTTTAGTCAAATAATCTCATTGGGAGAATCGGTTGGTTTATTCCCAACACCCTTTTTAGCCTTAGGATGGGTTTAGACTAGCAGTTGTTTGGTTGGTTGATAGAATTTAATACTTAATATAGTTGAACAAAACCCATGTGTTGCTGCAGCAGTTGAATGTAACATTATAATATAGTGGAAATGACGATTTTACTCGAGCGTAGTCAGCTGTAAATGATTCATCCCAAAAAATAGATCAACTATCACCCATGTGTATCACCTAACTTGCATTATCTGCCTGAGTTTACAATCTTCTTCTGATTGAATGTCAGGTTATTTGTCATACATGTGTTGGTGAAACAAGAACAATAAATTTTATGTCAAATATGTTTATTGTCAGGACAAACGTATAATTTTATGTTAAGAGTAAATTTATTATATTTTGGGAATATAAATTTATAATATTTTAAGATTATCAATATAAAACAATAGAAAATATATAAAATTTTAAAAATTTTAAATGAACGACTGTCCTAACCAACCCTTCCATCTATCCCTAATTGTAGTATAAAATAAACTGACTGGACCATAGTTTTTCCTTGGATTCAGTAGGTTATGGCCTTTCAAAGTAAAGCTAATTGGGTTTTGAAATAGGCAGAATAATTTGTGCTGAATGAGAGGCCGAAAGCTATGATCCCAATCAACTATTTGGACTTTCAAACTAGCCCATTGATTGCCTTGGTGGACAACAAAAAAGATATGGTGATCCAAAACAAATTGTAAATTTAGCACTATTCAACATTAAAAGGCGAATAAATAAGGTATACGGGACATGGAGGGTGTTATGATTCCACATATCTTTTTGGTAAACTACTCAAATGACCACAATTATGAGCCGGTGTTGATATGACTACAATATTTTCAATTTTATCAATAAAACTAGTATCATCGAACGATTAACATAGGAGATTAGAGTATTAACACATCAAAGCTTTGAATGAATTTTTGTTGATTTTGAGGGGATTTCGTTGAAAATCAATCTTAGGAGAAAAAAGAGTAATTAAATACAAATGTCTTGATAATGATCTTGCTGTAAAAGATAACTTATGACGGGGGAAGATTGTTTGCCAACGGTGACCGAAAAAATTTAGTATCTAAAATTGAACATTTTTAAAGTTTAGTAGCGAAATCGATATACCTCTAAAGTTTTAGTACCTAAAACGATGTTATTTTGTCCATATCATCGTAGTGATAGATATATCCATGTCACCATACAGTTAAAATTTAATGGCTTAGTGGTATAAGTGAAGTCAAAACCAAAGTTTAGTGCTATAATTGAAATAATTGAAAATTTAGTCATATAAACAATAAATTACCTAAAGTTAACTGGTATATGGTGTAAGTTTCCCTTTATGTTATCATAATTAAGTCATATTAAAAAAACAATAGTATATTTGGTTTAAGGGTAAAATACAAGTCTAGTTCCCCAAATATAAATTTTATTGCAGTTTGGTCACCCAATTATTTTTATTTAAAATCATGTCCAACGTCACATTTCGCTTTCATTTTGCTCTCTTACCGTTAAAAATTAACTATGCTGCTAATATATCACCATAATATAATACCATGTCATCATTGATTTTTTTTTTAAAATTCCACATCAACAGTTCTATTAGTTTCTTAACGACCAAAATTAAATTAAAATGTAACATTAGATATGATTTTGAAAAAAAAAATTGGGTGAGACCAAAATGGAACAAAAGTGATAGTTCGGAACTTAATGTGTAGTTTACCCATGATTTAACGCTCAATCTAGAAGTGGAAACTGGAAATCAAGATCAAAGAATGAAATAAAGAGAAATCGAAACTCCAGAGAAGTCAAACGCAAGGCAAGATCGAAGCATGAAAGAAGATTACGAGGTACTCCTACTTTTTCAATCTCTCTTTTACGTTTAATTTTATAATTAATAGTGAAATCATCGGTTGATTCGACCCTTGGTTGAAATCTCTTCCTTTCATGATATCAATCTTTAATCCTTAATAAATCTCCTATTGTTACTTGTTTTCGATTAAAGAAAAGCAAAAATGACGAGATTCTGATACCGTTTCTTCTCTGTCTTCTGTTAAGTTCAACCTACCTTAATTAGTAAATCGTCTCTCGAACTGGGCAACAACTGTTCCTTCTTATAACTGAATTTAATTGAAAAATTTCCGGTAAAATTTATCTCTTTACAAGCTTGGTATAAGTGGAAAATTAGTTACCATGTACTTAATTTTATTTGTTCTTCTGGGCATTTGTTTTCTTGGTTTAGAATGCGAGTATAATTATCATTCTTTTTGGTCGTGAAGTTTTTCTGATAGGGATCAGTGTAAATAACAACTTCTTAGAGTTACTTTTCTATCAATATTTTGTGGATTATGGCATTTTTAGCATTTCAAATCCATTTTGTTCATCACTTGGAAGAAAGAGACTCATCCGAGGTTGAAACAAGGATATTCAAGCTGATGTTTTGTAAAGTTGACTTTGGCGGATTGGTTTCAACTTTCCGCATCTTTATTTTAAGGGCCATAGCTGCATCTACCAATCCCTAGTGGTTCACTATGATATGGTTTTAAAAATTCAGAATCATTCCTAATGAGTATTATATCTATGGATCAATAAAATCAGGATTATACCTTTTTCGAAGCTTGTTGATTCATTTGTAAACGCAAACCAGTGTGCAAGTTTGTTTGTCTCCTTCATGTGATGTTGTTACTTCTACTGATTGAAGTTGGAATTATTTCAGCTGCTTTTGGTATCTTTTACTTAATGACTTAAGCTAAGCGGTCGGAGTCTAGGGGTGTGTGTGTTTTTGATCTCCTCTTGACAAAAAGCTGTTTTAACTTATTTCATTCTATTTATTATCATATGCCATTTATGTCAGACTGAAGATAATAAACAAGCTGCTGCCGATGTACTATTTCAATATTCAAAATTTGCAATGGCATGCATAGGAAACCATGTCCGACCTTGTGATCTGAGGCTGCATTTAATGAAGGTAATTTGGAAAAGGGGTTACAATGATTCTCTTTTCGCTTCTATTATATGCATTGTAAATGGTATTATGGAGTGGCTGCATGTGCTACCATGCATACTGTGATGTGAACTCACCTGTCATGCATATGAAGAGTAAAGGGTTCAATATCAAAGGGCTGAATTTCTGCCCAAATAAATGATAATAGCTTTTTCCACCTGTTTAGGAAATATCAGGGATGCCAACTTCTCTGAAGATAGCTTCATCCTAAGTTGCTGCTTCTCCCGATTCAATGGGTGAGTCATCAAGCTCAGGTACAACAAGACTTGATAAGAAAGCTGATAAATGAGGTGAATTGAGAGTGTTTCTTATGTCACTTGAAGCAGCATTATGATTTGTGAAATTTCAAGTTCTAACAATGTAATTCTTATCGTACTAGATCCTTACTGCAACTCAGGATGTTCATGTAGTACTCGAATCTACCAGATTCATGTGGGTCAGATTAGGGTGTTACATATCCTTTACCTATCTTTCCTATAGGTTTTGGGTTTACTTGAAAATGGTAAGAAATTCTCAATACTAAACTTGGATCACAAACTGTTTTCTCAATGGATCTTTGCTGGTCGCCATCAGATTGGCTTGAAATCAGGATGACAACTTCTCCTCTTCCTTTTCTTTTTGACTTCTATTTTTCTTTACTTTTTCTTTTGATTGTTGATTTGCTTTTCTTATTGTTTTGTTGTTGATATGTACTATCTTGCTAGGTTTCGATTTTGATGCGGGTATGAGGGAGTTAGGGGATAGGTTACGAGTTTATGAATCGATTAGTTTAGGAGAATTATGGTGGCTGAGAGGTCATCTTTAGGTATTTATCATCTTTAGGGATTTAAGTTACTAGGTTTAGGGACTACCTGTGAAAGTTTAGTGGGGTCTAGGGAAATAGTTCCAATATGGTAGCTAGGTATTGAGCGAGGCTAGTGATGGTGATGGTAATGGTAATCTCTGAACAGAGTATCGTTCTTTGACATCTGATAATGAGATGATTAGATTCATCACTGACATTGATTCAAACAATGATGTTATTGTTGGGTGTTGAGCTTGCATTGTTCTACATCAACTTAAATTGGTTTTGTGGTATTGTTCCTCACAAGTTAGTAATTTGATGATATTGTTCTAACTGGATCTTAGAAACAATCAATTCATTAGTAAGTTTCCTAAGGTAGTTATCCGATTTTTGACCCTCAAGTTTATGGATTTGTGGTTTACTGGTTTAGCGAATTCAAAGGAACCATACCTTAAGAGCTTTTTGACAGAATTTGTTAGTTTCAATGATTTGATAAGGCCTTTGCTAGCGAGTATTTGTCGATCTTAGGGCTTTTTTTTGCTAGTATTTCTCAGTTATGTAGGGGGAGTGATGGTCGTTCGATGGTTTGGAGCTCGGAGATAGTAAGTGATGAAGATGGCTCGATGGACAGTGAAGAATGGAGGTCAATAAAGAGTTAAATGATTAATTTATTTTTATGTTCGGAAGTTACAAGTATATTATTTAATAATTTACAGTGTCACGTCAGATTTTCGTGAATAGGGTAATAAAAATTATCGGGTCATTGATTAAATTTTAACCAAATGATATATAAGTGAACAAATACAACAATTGAAAGTTTGATAATCAAAATAAGAAGAAACACAAGCAAAAATGACCTTAAGTGTTTAGCCTTTATTATATGTAAGTTGAAGTTCAATATCGATTCATCAGAGCATTTGATGGGCACGGAAGTATAAATCAAATGACGTTAGTGATTAAAAAAATTTATTATTGTTTTTTAGTTTTAAATTCGAACATTATGCATGTTAAAATATGTTCATTCGTTGTCAATTGAATAAGAATTTTGATCTGTTATAAAAAATTTCTGCATTTTGATATCCAAATCCTTTTTACATTGAACTTACAAAACAAAACAAAGGCCTTAATATTTATCACCTTTACTTCTTCCCATCTTCACATATTTGGTATCATCACATCCACCACCCGATGTCTTCTCACGCGTCACTTTCACTTATCACATATCAATCTAAATTTGCCAAATTAAGAAGCCATTGTCTACTAATTGTTGAGCTTAGGATTAAGAAAACAAGATCTAAGTGTTATTTCTGGGATTGTCTTAGAAAAGGTGGGTTAATAAACGGCGTTACCAGATACATTAAAAGATATTTAACAAATTCGGTTTAGCGTTACCGGAAATGTTGAGTAATAATAATGTAATAGGTCTAAATCATGAAGAAATATTAAAAAATTTGGCAACCGGCAAACTTAGCTTGTCGGTTTATGTCGATACTTTATAAAAATGTATCGATCCACATCAATATAACATGTAAAAATATGACAAAACCGGTCTCGAAAATACAAAACCGGTAAAGCAGTACCAGATATATTGAAAGTGTCGATACTTTAATATAAGTATCGACACTTTGTGAATTTAAAAGAGAAGCAGTTTTAGCGCCTATAAAGTGTCGATACTTTATAACAATGTATCGATCCACAACGATATAACAGGTAAAAATATGACAAAACAGGTCTCTAAAGGACAAAACCGGTATAGAGCGACCGGATACATTGAAAGTGTCGATACTTTAATATAAGTATCGACACTTTGTGAATTTAAAAGAGAAGTAGTTTTAGCGCCTATAAAGTGTCGATACTTTATAACAATGTATCAATCCACAACGATATAACATGTAAAAATATGACAAAACCGGTCTCTAAAGGACAAAACCAGTATAGAGCGACCAAATATATTGAAAGTGTCGATACTTTAATATAAGTATCGACACTTTGTGAATTTAAAAGAGAAGCAATTTTAGCGCTTATATAGTGTCAATACTTTATAAAAATATATCGATCCATAACGATATAACAGATAAAAATATAACAAAACTGGTCTCGAAATGACAAAACCGGTAAAGCACTACCGGATATATTGAAAGTGTAGATACTTTAATAAGTATGCGTAATAAATTATCGATACTTTCAAAGAAATAGGTAATTATACTATCGAAAGTATCGATACCTGACATAAAAGTATCGACATTTTGGTAGTTGTATCGATTAAATATAAATAACATATCCGGTGAAAATATAAAGGGCATAGTTAAATATCCTCTGAAAAATAGATAGAACGGACGAGTTTTTGAAATTGAAGCGTAATTGTTGCTGCATTTCAGAAGGCGTTTCTAAAGCGAAGTTTGTTTGTTTGTTGTTGCAGTCGAATCGAAAAGTACGTTGTTGAAACTCTAGTTTTTTATTATTACAGTAATCGAAAAAAGGGGTTTTATGTGTTGTTTGAGATTTTGGAGTAAATAAGCATTTGAGACCGATTACAGGTAGAAAGTGATATTCTAGGTAAAATATAAATATTGATACTTTTATTAAATATTATAGGTAGAAAATGATATTATAGGTTGTATAAATGTGACAATACTTGTAGTATTGAGTGTTCCTATTCGTTTGAAGGAAATAGGAATTAGGGTTTTTGGATTTGGTTTGGGGGTTTCAAATCGAATCCAAGAAGGATTTGAGACTGTTTATATAATATTGTAGGTAGAAAATAAATATGGATACATGTATATAATATTATAGGTAGAAAATGATATTTTAGGTTGTATAAATGTGCCGACACATTTTATAGTGTTCATTCAAATTCTTTTGAAGAAAACCGTTTTACCACAAGAGTAGTTATCTATATTTGTATATTGAATAAAGTGTATGTAACAAGTATTTGATTTGATTTGCGTAAACTGATATATGAAGGAAAAATAGAGTCGATGGGTGGAAAAATTATTGGTGGCGCAAATGACTTTGAAATTGAGGCCGATACTCGAAAGTAACCAAAGGGTGGATATAAGTATTTCTAGTAAGTATCAATTTTTTGTTATTATTGTTGAAATGGTAATTGAATTAAAGTATTTAAGAACTTTAAATTGATTACAAATTTTAAATGTTGACAGTATGACCGAATTCCAAAGGATGAAGGAAGGTGGAGAACACATCAGTTCAGTACGTAAATTGAAATTTACATTGAGTATTATTTAGCGTTAATGTATTGATTAAGAAACGTTTATGCTTAATATTAGGTGAGAAATGATGTGTTGGAGAAATGGAATTTGATGAGTGATGCTGATAAGGAACCTTACATCGCACAGTCAAAGATGAATAGTGGAGAATACAAAGAATGGAGGAAAGTACATGAAAAGAATGTATTCATTAAACTTGTAAATACGTTGATAAAAAATATATAAGAACTATAACATTATATATTGTTAAAAAATGTAGGAAGTGTCGACAATGTGCAACATTAAAAGGGTGAATTCATTAATTAAACACCTTAAGGAGAAGGGTAAGTTGAATGTGCTGGGAGAAATAGGGTTTGGATCGTTGGTAAGAGTAAGGGATCGACCTATTCGGAGGGAATTGTGTTGATCTTTGATGGCGCAATTTGATGTCGAACAATGTATTGCTAAATATGGTGATTTTTCATTTCCTCTGGGGATCCCATGTGCTGCAGCCGTCTTGGGGGTAGGAAATGAAGGCAAAAGTGTTGTAGAAGTCTTTAAGAGTAAGAATTGGAAAACACTTGCCTCCAAATATGGTTTGCAGCATAAGGTAACATATGTTGAACTTGAAGAGGAAATCAAAAGTGGATCTTACGCGAGGGGGGGTGAGCTGAAGGCCCGAGTTCTATTGTACATTGTTGGGATCTTTCTTTGTCCAACGGGTGATACGTCAACGAACAAGGACTATATGAAGCTCATTTGCGATGAAGGCTTGAAGGGTGAATTCACTTGGGCTGAATATGTCCATTCGAGATTGATTGAATCAATAATCACCTTTAAAAAGGGCAGCCAAAGATACCTCAAAGGGTGCATAGCAATCTTAAAGGTAAATGAGTTGAAGAACGTTTTTGTTTTTTTATATAAAATGATAGTATAGTTATTATATAAAATTATAAATTTTATTATAAATACAGGTTGCACTGTTCGATTTTTGGTCGGGCCGTGAGGCAGTGCCGGCTTATGAAAGAACTGGAGTGGCACACATCCGTGCATGAGGGAAGGAAAAGGTGGTTAGAGTGATGACGAAATTGAAGTTGGATAGACTGAGGAAGCAAGAAAGGGTAATAAATGTAATTAAATAATATTAAAAATATAATCAATGTCTTAATATTGTAATTTAATTTTGAAGGTTATTGGCAAGGAGGTAGAGGAGACAGATGAAAAGAAAGAATAGATGGTTGTATTGGGGGGATGACGGTGAGGGGGATGATGGTGAGAGAAAACAGAGTAAATTCAACATTTTGATGTCTGAATTGGCTGATATAAAAAAAATCCAATTTGATATCATGCAAAGACAATCAAGAGTCGAAGAGACACTTGAGAGGCATAAGGGGGAAATAGAGGGAAAAATAGATGGATTTATGAAAGAAGTTGAGGTGTTGAGGGGTGAAGTGGTGAAAGAAGTTGAGGTGATGAGGGGTGAACTTAAGATGGTAACGGGTGAAAAAATTGATGGAGTGGTGAAGGAGGTTGTGGAATTGAGGAGTGAACTTACGGGGGTGAAGGGTGAAATAAAAGAGATGAAGAGCTATGTAGAGCAAAAAT